AGGCATAAAATCTCTGACTCGGCAATTTCTTTTCAAGGACTACACACCAGATAGGTTCTTGTTTGTGTGCACCCAGAGAACTGCAGGAATATTATGGTTCTTAGTGGCATTGTTTGTCATAGCAAGTAGCTGAAAACAGCCCAGTTCCCATTCCTCAAGAGGAGAATGCATAAATAAGCAGTGGTTTCTCATATGACGGAATGCAATACTTTGGTCAAGTGAATTAGCCAAAGCCTTGTGCATCAGCAATAGTAAATCTTAAGAAAACCTAGTGCTGAATGATAAAAGCAAGTTTCTCTAGACTATAAAGAGTAATACTATTTGTATAAAGCCCTCAAGCATATAAAACTTTACAAGTGTTTGAACATAGCTGTTTTTTAAATTATGTTACTTTTTTTGTAAAAACAAGGTAATTATGAACTCAAAATTCAAAATCATGTTTCTATTTTGGAGGGGGAGAGGTACTTGAAGGAAGTTAAAATAATCATTTTCTAAACCTGGGTCATGGAACAATGGTGTTTGTTTTATGATTCTGCACATTTTGTTGATGCATTTCATGTATGATATTTTGGTAATAAACCATTTAAATGAACTTCAAAGGAAGTCTTAAAGATATCTATAGCACTTGACCTTGCATCCTACTTGTGGTACTACAAATACAGGTCAAGGATGAGCTTGTGTTGAATGAAAAGGTATGAGATGTATCTTCAAGTTCAGACTGGGGTGCTTTGTGCAGGGCTCAAAGAATCGGGTGCCTGGGAATTTGAGCAGTAAGTTCTGGGCCCAAGGAGCTGTGGCTCAGGTGCCTGAAGTGGATGCGGCAAAGGGGCAGGCATTACCAGGGAAGTTCTGCAGCTCTTGAGGGGTCCAGGCCTACACACAGTGACAGGACGGTGTGTAACCCTCTAAGGCCCAGGGCTCGCTCTCATTCTGATTCTGGCAGAACCTGCACCAAGAAGAGGAGCCACATAAGATTACTAAAAATGGTTGGCTTTCTATCCTTGGCAGACAAGGTTCAATAAGGTTTCATTTGATTTTGATTTTGTTTCTTTCACCTTGAAATAAAGGGATCAATTTCTACTCAACAGTAACACAAACAACCCAAAACACCCAAATCATCAACAGTAAGATGATTTTGTACCAGGACATTCATTTATTATATCAAATATGGGGATATTTACAGTAGTCCCCACTTATCTGAGGGGGATACATTCTAGGCCTCCAGTGAATGCCTTATACTACTGATGATAATAAACCCTGTGTGTACTATGATTTTTTTCCTAAACATACAGACTTGTGATGAAGCTTAATTTATAACTTAGGCACAGTGAGAGACTAAGATCAATAAGTAATAATGTAGCAGAACCGTTATAACAATATACTGTAATAAAAGTAGGTGGCTTCTCTATATCTCAAAGTATACTCATTATTGTGATGGTGGGAGGCGATACAGCATGTATGTGATGAGGTGAATGAGGCATTAGGGTACTACATAAATTTACTTGAACACAAGCACTATAATGGCAGTGTATCTAATAACTGAGATGACTACTAAGGGACTAGCAGGAGGGTAGCATATACAGTGTGGATACATTAGGCAAAGGGTTGATTCACATCCTGAGTGGAACAGAGGGACAACAAAATTTCATAGTACTACTCAGAATGATGTGTAATTTAAAACTTGAGAATTGCTTATATCTGGAATTTTCATTTAATATTTTGAGACTGTGGTTCACAGAGGGTAACTGAAACCACAGAAAGTAGAATCTTATATAAGGGGGATTGCTTTATATAAAAATCTATAAACATATGTGTATATGCACACACATTCACATGTACTTATGTATAATTATAAATGAGTATATATAAGTACTACATATACTATGAATTGATTATACTTATATACATGCATATTTATATAAAGTGTGCACATTTATATTTATGCAATATAAATTAACACAATACAATAAAAGTATATATAACCATACTATAAAATAAAAATGTTTATAAATATTAAAGTAAATGTAGATGCTTTCATATTATAAATGCTGTTATGAATGCCCTATTACATTCAGTAGAATGTTCACCAGTGTTACTTGTGAGTGTTGAGATTATTTTTTATCTTTGCTCTGACTTTGTCACAGGGTCTACAAAAACTTATTAAAAACAAAATTGTTCACTGTCTTAAAATCAAGAAAGACAGTCAATCAGGCAGACCCACCTCTCTGTCTCTGGGTGGTTCCCAGATCTTGGGTCTTAAGGGCCATCTGTAGGGACCCTGGTGCAGACCAGGATGCTGAGGCCCTGGTGGGGTGTCTAGCGCGACTTCCACCACCTGTGCAGCTTCTGGTAGGTGCTGAGAACATTGCAGGCTTCAGTGACTCATCTCATAAAAGCCTCCACTGTAATGCCTACAGTTTTCACAGAAACGACAGAACTCAAAAGCTAAGGGTAAGAAAGGAGCGTTTCAGTCGGATTTCAATGTAGCTTCCTTTGAAGGATGGGTGGCTGAGCGCACGGGTGCTGCAACGAGCAATGACAGCAAGGAACCTGACATGTGGTGTTGCCACAGGTTTCTGTGGGAGGTGGCCAGGGTGTGGACCAGGTGGCCTTTGATGTCAGGGTATTAGGTTTTCTCTCCTTTTGATCTGGTGGCTTGGTCACTTAGAGATGCTGAAGGTGAAGAACTCCCTTCTTGGCGATACCATCTCCGTGTGTTTTGAGGTTAGATCTTTACTGCCTAAGAGTCTTACTCCATGAAAAACGTGTAGCATGGGGGGCCAAGGAAGGAAAGGAGAAGGGACGAGAGGCACCACCACAGCAGGATACCAAGGGGGAAGAGAGTGGCCCCCGTGTGTAGGGAGCTGGGGTGGAAGAGTGGTTGAAGGGAGGGAAGAGTAGGAATGGAAGAGTCCCCAGGATGCTGCGAAGGGGGGAAAATCGAGAGCCCTGTGCCTCGGGTGCCTGCTCTCTGCAGGCGCTTGCTGCGGGCCTCCCTGCGTACGGTCTGATTGAATGCTTACCCCCACCTTATTTGAGATAGGTGCTCTTGTTATCCTGAACAGATGGGTTAGTAGTTAAGTGATTTTTCTCCACATAACAGTTTCTTGGGGCTTGAACTCTGGGCAGGGTTTGAACTCAGTCATCTGATTCTTGAGCCCATAACATTAACCACTCTGCTTCCTTTAGGAGTGCGGCAACATCTAGCATCCTTTTAGTACACAGCGGCCATTTGCTAAAATTGTATGTTTTGGTGTATTTTTAACACCTGGGTGGAATCAGCGGCAAATACTTGGGGCTTCCTATTTCCCATTGGCTGCACTGTTTTTCTATCTCTAGTTCATCCAGGGAGAGAAAATGTATTCTGTACAAACTGAAAACAGGAAACCACCACACCACCCTCGGCGGCAGAGCGCCTGTCTTTGGCTGTCATTCACGTTGGCCCTGCACATCTGGCCAAGGAGCTGGAGTCGGGCTCTTGATGTGCTTTTCTTATAAACCTGAGGAGATGAGCTATAAGGTGAAAAGATGCGAAAACTGTCTTAGAAGTAGAATAAATCAATCGTGAACTTACTATTGGTGGAGACGCTTGTTTAGGGGGGCCAAGAATGACATAGAATTCCTAATCACAAGCTAATCATCGGGACAATGAAAAAACTAGAGTCTTCTAACCTGAGATTAAAGTCCAATTTATTTCTAGGGAAATAAAATTGGAATTTAAACTCTTGCCCACCTGCTGTTTATTCCTTTGTGGGAAGGGGCAGGAACCCAGGTCTAGTTCCACACGCACTATGGGCCACGGCAGCTAGTGAAGTTACCTTCTCTAGGCCTCATCTGTAAAGGGCAATTATCTTTTTCCTCACAGGAGTGTCGTGATTGCTAAAGGGGAGGCAGGCAAACCCTCTGCACGGAGATGGCCAGGCACGGTGCTGGTGCTCAGTAACGGTGGGGAAAGGAGTGCTCCCCTAGGCTAAGTTAGAAATCCAGTCTCCCTGAATATCAGGTGGCCCTTGAAGACTTGATTTTTTTGATCGTACTGTCAGCTTCTGCCCGAGCTCTGAGCAAGCAAATCTTAGGATGGTCATCTTTTAACTTGTAAAGAGGCCGAGGGTTGGAATTCTAAGCCAGGATGTGTACTTAAGTTCTCTTGCAAAGATGGGGGCCCATCCACTTAGATCAAAGCATTGAAAACAATATAAAGAGCACCCGCAAGGTGAGTTAGACAATCTTGATTTCAAAATCTGTGATTCCGAGAAGTTTTTCCGAGTTTGAGTTCCTTTCAGGTGTCCATTCGGTCAGTAGTTACTAAGCACCTACCATGTGTCAGCCCTGGAGAGAGCAAAGGGGAAGACCGGCAAGGTCTCCAGTGTCATGGGACTTGCTGCCCATGGGGAAGAGGGACCAGTGAACAACGTGGTGCTGCAGTGGTGGGGAGGGTGAGGACTGTGGAAGACGGACAGCAGGGACCTGGGACCTGGTGCTCACAGTGATCTGAGGGGGGTGGGTGGTGACGCATGGCCCACTCGTCAGAGCCCGTGAGAGGATTAGATGAGACGGTATACGTGTTGACTGGTACCTGGTGGGTGACCCATATGTGTGTGACCATCAAAATAATACTGTGACACGCTTCAGAGCTAGAATGACCACTTCTAGATCATCTAGAATTTTCTAACTTTCTAGTCTGGTGACTGGTAGAGAGATGGTTGCCTTAGAACCTAGGGAACTTGTTAAAAATTCATATTCTTGGGTTTCATTTTCCAAGGATTCCAATTCCGTAGATAGGGCTAGGCTGGGACCTTGGGAAACTATACTTTTGTAGCGTTTTCCAGGTAATTTTGGTCTAGCCTACTTGTACCTCCTAACCCCAAATTAGAGATGGAGAGATTGAGATTCAGGAAGCATGATTTTTGTGGTGTGCCCAGGGCCAGGTGGCTGGCAGAGGGTTCTGTAGGGAATCAAGACAGTAAGAATGGAGGGGGTCTGAGAGTGTGTGGCACCAGCATTCCTTTATTTCCACCTCGTGAGTCCACTGGAGCGTCTTGGGTGCTGTCAGACATGGACCAAGGAAGTGAGCCTCCGCAGTTCAGTTCATCTGCCAGTGTTTGGGGCTGGAGCGGGGCTGGGTGTGCGAGTGGAGGCTGGCCTCCCGAGTGACGTTCGGGCTTGTGTGCCGAGGCTGCTGGAGAGGTGGGAAAGCCAGGCTGGGAGACTGCCCTCGTGTCTTCCCTAATTCAATTCTGCGTTGATATCCAGTATGTCAGATCTCCCTGCAGATGAGAGGACAACGTGGCAATTGTGTCGCTGTCACAGTCTGTTATTTTCAGATGTGTGCGCGGATCTGTAATTGCGTTGACACCCATTAGGTCTCCCTCCCGGGCAGTGCCATTCGCTGCTTGAACATGTTGTAATTAAGTCTCCTCATTCTCTCCCTCCCCCTCCCGTGCCTGTTGTCCCAAGGATGCGCAGCACCAGGCTCTGCCCAGGGTATAGCCATGGTCACATTTGGGTAATATCCAATCGACTGGACATGTATTCCTTTCTCTGTCTCTGCCCCCATTTGGCCCTGGTGATGTGGGGTGGAGAATAAGCTGATTCACTTACAATAACAAAATCTTATGGGTAAATGCCACACTCTGATTGGCTGAGAGGGCGAGTAGCACTTTCTCCATGATGTCTGGCACACATTGTGCTCATGCTCCGGTTCTTACCACTGACTGGTGGGTTAAACAGCCAATTCCATCTTGCTCAATTAATCAAAGTGGAATAGGGCAAGTTTGGGAAGAGTTTCATCTGCTCCTTGTCCAACAACACTGGAAATCAAATACTTGAGGAAACTCTGTGATGAATTTTGTTTAATACGCAACATAGTTATATCCTCCTTTCACATTCCAAGCAATGTCAAATACGGATCCAACCCCCCACATATTTATCTCTGATGGAACATCTGAGCATTTTCATTACAAAAGCAAACTTGAAATTTCTATAGGGGTAAAATGGGGATGCTAGTCTAGAGCATGTTTTTTTTTTTTTTTAAAGTTAGAATTTTAAAAATGCATTTTTGTGGTGCAAATAACCAGAGTTATGTTAAAGTTTCTTCCACTGTGTTTTAGTTCTACAACTGCCACAAATACTATCAACTGAGGAAGAGAGTGAAGTGATATTTAGGCAATGCTTCTATGGTGGGAAAGAATATTTAGTATCATCGATGATGTTAATCTCATTACTACACATTCTACTTTTTAGCTCTTCCCTTTACATATGTGCTTCATTTGTTTTACTTAATTTCATTCTTTGAATAATACTGCCAGGTAGGTATAACTATAAATTTCAAAAGACAATGAGGATCAGCAAATTAAATAACTTTCCCAAGGTCAAAGCTAGAAAGTGATAGAATTGGGACAGAACTCAGGCCTGTCTTCAATTTCATACGCTTCACCAAAAATAAATAACTGAAATGGTTTCATTTATTTTTTTAAAATATCCTTCCTATTCCCCAATAGATGATTTTTTTCTATTTTTTCTTTATCCCTCATTAATTTAATAATATATTTTAGGGAAAATTAATTTTGTACTCTATTATCTGTCCATATTAACTATATATGACAGCCCAACTTCAAAAACATGAAGGTGTTGCTGTTAATATTATGATTGTAATTTTCTTATTTACAGAGCATTTTGAAATCAAAGGCAGATGGTAGGTGCTGTGCATGTCCATACTGCCTGCGAAGGGCCTTGAATTTGCATCTATAGAGTTACCCAGGCTGCTGGGGATGGGCAACAGCATAGGGTTTCTAGCATGAGAGTGGCTTGATCCGATCTGTGTTTAGAGGGTGACCCTCACAGTGCCTGGGAAGGTTGGGGATAGGGAGACTGCATGTGGGTTGGCCACAGCCCAGCTGGGAGGTAAGCCCTGCCCTGGAGAGGAGTGAATGCAGTGGCCATGGTAGGGAAGCAGAGTGGGCCTGGTGGGCGTCAGTGTGTCCTGCTGAAGACCTCGGGAAGGGATTCTCCAGGAAGGGCAGAGTGGGCCTGGAGAAGGAACAGAGAGGGGGCTTTTCCAAGACAGTCAGCCCTCTGGCCCCACACATCAATCCTGCTGCTCTTCCTACTCGCCCAAGGAGAAATGAGGCTTGGGTACTTCTCCTTGGCTGGACAGATTCATTTAGATTTAACAAGGTATGCTACAGGGAGCAAACTTCTAGAAGCAATTATGCACAGGCAGATCTTGATTGGATAAGGAATAGAAGATTATCAATTGCTTTTCCTTTGCCCATCCCTTTAACTCCCAAGCCCATTCCGATTTTATGACTCCATAATTAACCAAATAATTAAACAACTGTAAATAGCCGTCTTGAACATGCAGTGCCACGCTTTGCTGCTGCCTCCCTGTTCAGAGTTCTCATTAGCAGAGTTGCTTCTCATTGACATGCAAAGGAGCACAGGGACACAGAGAACTGCACAATGTGGTTTCTTAACTCACATAGTTAAACTGAAGGATGCCTGTGTGTGTGTGTCTCGTCTCTCTACCCCCTTCCTCTCTCCCAGCTCCCTCCCTCCTTCTCTCTCCCCCCTTCCCTCCTTCTCTCTCCCCCCTTCCCTCCTTCTCTCTCTCCCCCCTTCCCTCCCTCTCTCCCCCTTCCCTCCCTTCCCCTCTCCCCCTTCCCTACCTCCCCCCCTTCTCCCTGTCTCTCTCTCTCTGTGTGTGTGTGTGTGAGAGAGAGAGAGGGTTCCCTTAAACATTGGGCTAAAATTACCCTCTGTGTTTATGACAGTCATGTTGCATTCATCTAATGAGTTATTGTTAAAGAGCATGGTCTACTACTTAATTAATATTTTAAAAAATTAATTTTCTTTTCACTATTCCTTTTTCCATGTGATGGGGCAAGGAACATGACCATCCTAGAAATTCTGGATGAGAGTCCCCATCTCCCCCAGTGAAGTCGAAATGAAAACTTAGGAGCCACCTAGAAGAGGGTAGCAGAATGCAAGTTTCCCAGTAGAGATGAGACTTGTCAGCTCTTGGTGGCAGCATGGACTTCTGAAAATACACCAAATCTAGAGTCAAAGGAATATGTGTGTGTCCCAGCTCTGATTCTGGCTGGGCACCCTTGGTCACTTTCTTGCATTTCTGTTGTGTTATGCAGAAAGTTATGGAGGATTTACATTCCTTGGTGTTGTGAGTAGAAATGAGAAGTGTTTTTTAAGAGCAAAGTGCTCTTAAAATATATCAATTCATTTTGCTTTTATTAATTCTTTACCAAATGATATTCGTTACAGTCATCTCCTAACTTACACCATGCTCATTTCTCCTCTGGGATCCCATACCTTCCTCCCTCCCCTTTCCCCTCCTCCTTCCACAGATACACACTGAGCATCTCTTAGGAATCAGACACTGTTAAACACCAACCTGACCTGAAATCACCCAAACATTTTTTGAAGACAAGGATTTTTTTTTTTTTTTTTTAAGGAAAGGACTATTTGTTTCTCGGGCGAGGGAAATCTGTATCCTAGCTCTTGGCACAGTGCCTGAAGTACCACAGAAACTCAGCGAATTGAACCGAGCCTACATCCACCTCACAAGCCTATGCCCAGCCTAGTTATGTTTTGCAACAGTAAAGGACAGGACTCAAGCAGTTAGGGAATCAATTGACCAAACTTTAGAGACAGAAAGAATGTAGTTCAAATGGCCCAGATCAACTAGGACCACAGAACTGATGTGGTAGGGTGAAAATGCTGGTCACAGGAGGCCAGTGCATGCTTAGTTACCTAACAAATAGTAGCAACAGAATCGGGATCATTAGTTCCCAATGAGCCAATTCCTTAGTTTAGCAGCTTTAGTGTCATGGTCTAGTTGAACCTCTTGCTTGCTCATCCTTGTCCATTCCTTAGCTTTGTGTTTCTACCTACTTCCTGCCCACAGTGAGTGACCTTGAAGCTTTTCTGTTCACTCTGGTGTGGTGCCTTCATGAATGTGATATTTGGGGGGCACACTGAAGAGCCTTTCGGCCTGTGCTCGGTCCCTGCAGGCAACCCTTATCCATCGTGGCCCACCCCAGTGGATTGTTCAGAATACGCTGCTCCTATAAAGGGAGACCCTCACCTACAAACAAGGAGGAGGGTCACCCAGACAGAGGCAGACAATGCCTGTGCTCCCTTCACCAACTCTGGATGTGCTTCAGCAGTGCTCTGTGCCTGCATGTGTTCCTGAAAAACTCCAGGGTTTGACTTAGTCATTCGGTATTGGTGTTTGCATCAGTCACTGTCTGCACATGTTAGGAGATGAAATAAAGTACTTGAGATTTGAAATTTGCCTTTAGGTTTAGGATCCTCCTGGAGAGAGGAGATGTGAACTTAAGGAGGTTTATTGGGTCTGCACAAGGAGGTGATGTGTCGCACTGGGAAGAATTTAGGGGGAGACAGAGCCCTGAACTCCCGCCTGGTTGCCACATCAACTCTTTCTTGTTTGGGAAACACGTCCCCTTAGTTCCTAGTCACACTTGGGTCTGTGTTTGTATTGTGGGTTTCTTGAGGATTTTGTTTGAACAAAGCTTCCTGCTGCTCTTGGAAAACGAGGTTAAAAATCGCTCCCTTGTTGAGGTCCTTACTGGTGGAACGGTCCATGCTTCTACATCACGTCAGAGAGTTTGTTTTGACCATAGTGATGAGCTGTCATCAGTAAAGTCCTTAACTCGGGGACAGATGCCCACCAAGGGCTGAATATGTAGCTGGTTCTGTCCAGTGTCTTGTCTCCTCTGACTTCCTCTTATTTCCTCAAGCTTCCCTTGCTACTCTGGCAGAACTCATCTGGCTCTTTGGGTCTTAACTTAAAATTCAATAAATTCCACCTTTGAACTGCAGTTACTGGCTCTAGGCAGAGAGAAAACAAGATTAACCATGACACCCTAAGTTTCGCCAAGTCAAATTCCTTGGCTGTACCGTTATCCAGTAAGCTGCTGTCTCCACTCGCTGCTGGAGACTCCTGAGCACATGAGCAAAGCCCATCTCGGGGTCAGTCCTATCTCTTGGGCCTTTGGCTTTTGTGGCAGGTGGTGGTGTGTTGGCCTCCTGTGCCCGGCATTTCAGCCCACCATGTTAGGGCTGTGGTCTGGGCCATTTGGACTGCAGCGAGTGCTCTGATTTCTCCTCGCAAACGTGGCTTGTGTTATGAGCTGGCTATTCATTCAGTAAGTTGAACACTGCACAAATGTTTTCCATCAGTTATTACCATGAAATGCTGGCCATTGGAAAGGCAATAAAACCTCTGACC